CTAAAGTACCTAGAAAAGGAAAACAAAGTCAGGCAACTACCCGACTTCAGTCAGCCCATGGCAGGCCCTAGTGTCAGCCCCACATGTTGAAATTAGGGCCCAATCTTAGAAGGTGCTGATCTCCCTCATCTCCCCTTGATTACAGCGGGAGTGCACTCAGCAGCTCCAGGATCAGCCTCCTAACAAAGCAACACAATCTCCAGCCACATCACATTGGAAACAGACGCCCTCAACCCTTCCTCAGCAGTCGAAGGCCACGTGCCTGGGGAAGCCACTTGAGAAATGGGAGCCAAAGGAAGCCACAGCTCCCATAGACTGACCGATCTCTTCACAGGCTCGCGCACCCGAAGGTACAAGCCAATGTGCGCGACAAATCCTTGCCCAAACAAACAGAGTGCTGCCCTCGGACAGCACCTGCCACCTGAGAATCTCACTGTCCTTTGAAAATGTTAGTGACCAAAGCCTCAACACCCAGAGAGGAATTATTCCAAGTTTTACAGATGGCAAAGCTGAGACAGAGGTTAAGTGATTTGCCCGAAGAGACAGCAAGTCAGTGCCAGAGCTGAGAAGATAACCTGAATTTTCTGACTCTCCGTTTGATGCTTTTACTGGACAATACTGCCTCTCTCTCAGAGGGGACAGGTCTTTTATGGGATACTCGCAGGACAAACCCTAATTTTAGTCAGTTCCCTTAGCTAGCACAGTCCTAGTGCAGCCTTAGAGTGTGGGTCCCGCAAAGCAAACCAAAGCTAACGCTCAAATGGACGGATACCTGGTGGTGCACACATACTATGCATCCTCTAATATTTTTCACCCCTTAGCAGCCTTCCAATGCTGCCAAGTGTAGCTGCGGTCCAGAAGCATGAACACGGAGTCAGGTGTGCACTACAGCGCGCTGATAGATTATTCGTTTGCTGCACAGAGCTACCACAATATCTACTCCCATCTGTTTTCGGAAGACCCAGTGCCTTAGGACCATACAATACAGATACAGCCTTTAGTACAGGGATCGGCAACCTCTGGCACACAGCCTCTCAGGGTAAGCCCCTGGTGGGCTGGGCCGGTTTGTTTACCTGCAGCGTCCATAGGTTCGGCTGATTGCAGCTCCCACTGGCCGCGGTTCACCATCCCAGGCCTATGGGGGCTGCAGGAAGTGGCGCAGGCCAAGGGACGTGCTGGCTATCGCATCCCACAGCCCCCATTAGCCTGGAGCGGCGAACCTGCGGCCAGTGGGAGCGGCGAACCTGCGGCCAGTGGGAGCGGCGAACCTGCGGCCAGTGGGAGCGGCGAACCTGCGGCCAGTGGGAGCGGCGAACCTGCGGCCAGTGGGAGCGGCGAACCTGCGGCCAGTGGGAGCGGCGAACCTGCGGCCAGTGGGAGCGGCGAACCTGCGGCCAGTGGGAGCGGCGAACCTGCGGCCAGTGGGAGCGGCGAACCTGCGGCCAGTGGGAGCGGCGAACCTGCGGCCAGTGGGAGCGGCGAACCTGCGGCCAGTGGGAGCGGCGAACCTGCGGCCAGTGGGAGCGGCGAACCTGCGGCCAGTGGGAGCGGCGAACCTGCGGCCAGTGGGAGCGGCGAACCTGCGGCCAGTGGGAGCGGCGAACCTGCGGCCAGTGGGAGCGGCGAACCTGCGGCCAGTGGGAGCGGCGAACCTGCGGCCAGTGGGAGCGGCGAACCTGCGGCCAGTGGGAGCGGCGAACCTGCGGCCAGTGGGAGCGGCGAACCTGCGGACGCTGCAGGTAAACAAACAAGCCCGCCAGGGGCTTACCCTGACAGGCCGCATGCCAAGGGTTGCCGATCCCTCCTTTAGTATCAACGTACCAGTGTGAGGAGGTAAACATTACTGTCTATGTAGCACCAGCGAGCTGAGTCCCCAGCCTCACGTTATAGGCAGCTTTCTTCCTGAAAGTTTTCAGCCAGGTTTTAACATTTCCTCAAGGCCCATCAAGTGTCCAGATGGCCTTGTACAATAATTCCATAAAATACAAATCACAACAGTCAGAACACTCAACTAGCAAAAAATGATCCCAGAACCCACAATGAGATAATGCTCTCATCTGGCCTCAAACTCTATGAATTTAAGAAAAAACAGAAGAACAAGGCAGGAATGAGGAGGGGAAGGAGAATCCTACATCTGTTGACAAAAGTATGATTACTTTTAAGAAAAAACACTTTTGGGAGGCTGGAGTCAGCATTATGGACTATGAATCGGGGTCATCTGAAATTTTAAAATTTACCGGCTGACTCTGCTTACCCTTACTTACATGAGGAGTCTCTTCTTCTGCGAGTAGCCTCATGGAAGTCAGTGGGCCTCATTGCATGCATAAGGGCATGTCACACAATTAAGGGTTTGCAGGATCAAGTCCTTAAATGGACTTTGAAATGTGCAATTAAGCTCCCTGGCAATAAAGCTATTGACCCAAGCCCCTGCAGCTGTTCTCTAAGGTAAAGACATACAGCAGTGCTGCACAGATGACAAGCTTTACAGGCCATAGCAGCTTTGATCAGGCAATTACCATTATTAGCATGTGTTCAGAATACAGAAACACCTAGGCACTAGGAGAATTAGTAAGGAAAGCATGCAAAGATAAGTTCTAATCAAGCATGAAAATAGTTCATTGCTGTTGATTCCCCCCCACACACTTTTTTTTTTTTTTTGGGCTGTTACAAGTAGGGCTTACATCCAAGCTAGGCTGCAAGAGTACCCGAAATGAAATTCACTGGGAGATGAAATTCGACAGGTTGTGTAAAAAAGGAGGAGATCAGACCAGATGATCCAATGGTCCCTTGTGGTGAAAAAAAAAAAAAAATCAATGAACATGAATCCACATTTAAGAAATAGCAGCTTGAAAAGAGAGATGCCCTCAAAATCCCCCAAAACATTGGCTCAACTTTTTGCTGTTATTTGAGGAGAAGGAGAGAGGAAGGTCACAAGCTGGGCACCACCAGAGATCATCAGCTGGACTGTGGCTGACACGGCTCTCAGGGACTTGGGGCGAGGAGGAGGGGGGTTATTGAAAAAAAGACGGTTTCTCCTTATCAAGAAGCCAGAGAGGTTCACTTCAGCGAGAAGTGCAGTCAGCCCAGGACAGTATCATGGGAGGCTGCTAACGATAAAGCACTAACAAATCCGAGAAGAACTTTTCAAACCTGAACTGAGCACAGAAGCACAGCAATTCAGCAACAGAACCCATGAGGAGATGGGCAGGCTCTGAGCGACAGCTTTGGCTAATGGCTGGGAGTGGTGTGGTTTGGGTTTTTGAAGAGCCGTGCTGGATTTATGAAGGTTAGTCTCAGAATGGCCAGGGCTACGGGCACAAAAGCACAAACACTTCCGATTGCAGTGCTTACTGCTCCATGTAGGGTGGGGTTTTAAAAGGCATTCAGCACTGGCCTAACTCTTCTCCCCTGGAAGTCCATGGCAAAACTCTGAATGATTGCCATACGGAGCTGGGCCAATGCCAAGTACACATTAGGTGCCCGACAGCTTCGGCCCTGTTTTTGATCACAGCATAGGTGCTGCTGTTTACACTAAAAATAAGTGGAAAAAATAAATAGAAGTTTTAGTAAAGACACCTGTGGTTTAAATGTTAGGTTGCCCTCCTATACCTTGAACACCATGAAAAACTGGCTGAAACCTTGAGATTCAGAAATTTGATTATTTTGTGCCTCCCTTCTGCTGACTGAGACAATAAAACTGTTTCTGCTGAACTGTATGTATTTTTAAAACATGAGGCAGGCACTGCTAGAGAGGTTTCTGATGCAAATATTGGGCTGGAAACAGCAAGGTAGCAGTTCTGGTGAGAATTCTCATTGCTACGTTTATAGAAAGCCAGATTACAAAATACCGAGTCGTGCTGTACGCCAGGAAGGTGCTTTTAGAGAGATGTGTTTGGTAGTTACTAGAATCATTCACCTGCTTCTGAAACCTCCATTTACACAGTTTGAAATCCCGGATATATGCTGTTATTTCTGTGATCAGTCTCTCCACCCCTCACAGCCTCAACTCCAGTGGTGTGGTCAGTGATGCTGGGGATTTCTACAAGAAGGTGGCTCAACCCAAACAATCAGGGGCCTGACTTTGCTTCTCTCCCACCCCTCCACCCCAGGTGCTGAGCCTCCAGTTTCAACTGATTCCAAACTCAGCATTTCTGAAAACCAGGCACTAGGAAATGAAACAGCCCCCACTGTTAGGGGCTGGAACACATGAGTTATGAGGAGAGGCTGAGGGAGCTGGGATTGTTTAGCCTGCAGAAGAGAAGAATGAGGGGGGATTTGATAGCTGCTTTCAACTACCTGAAAGGGGGTTCCAAAGAGGATGGCTCTAGACTGTTCTCAATGGTAGCAGATGACAGAACGAGGAGTAATGGTCTCAAGTTGCAGTGGGGGAGGTTTAGATTGGATATTAGGAAAAAGTTTTTCACTAAGAGGGTGGTGAAACACTGGAATGCATTACCTAGGGAGGTGGTAGAATCTCCTTCCTTAGAGGTTTTTAAGGTCAGGCTTGACAAAGCCCTGGCTGGGATGATTTAACTGGGAATTGGTCCTGCTTCGAGCAGGGGGTTGGACTAGATGACCTTCTGGGGTCCCTTCCAACCCTTATATTCTATGATTCTATGATTCTATGTTCTTAACAGGGTGTCAGTTGCAGGGCTGTGAAGTTCCACTCATGAGATGCCAGACACATTATCAAGCTCAGCGGACCTTTCTGTGCATTTAAGCCTAGATGCTCCAATGGGTATAAATCTTAATGTGCACAAAGCTGACAGCCCTCATTGGCCAGTGACTAACACATGGACATTTGTTAAGTAACCTGACCAATACAGAGATAATTGGGGAGCAAGAATCTTGCCATTCCAGCAGTGCCAGCCTAACATTCATGTACAATACTTAGAGGGTTATGAACAAAACTGGTTCAGATACAGGAGATGCAGCAATGTTTTTCAGTAGTTGATAAGGGGATACCTGAGTTTGCTTGGTAAGAAACAAGAAACACTTACTTTACAGAGACTCAGAAGAAGCCAGATAGCATGAAAAGCAGAAATCCATCCATATCCTCTTCCTTCCATATTCTTCCTTACCTTCTATGCCTGCTCCCCTTGCACTGCAGAATACAACTGTTCTGAACTACACATTCTGGAGTGTTTCAAACATCTTGATTGTGCCTCTTTCTCAGGCTGCTCCTTTGTTCAACCCTGATTTTCAGCCGGAGATAGAGATGCCTTTGAGCTGAGACACCAGGCAGTCTAATACCACAGCTCATTTCCTGGCCTGCAGAAGTCATCATATCACCCAACTGACTTACTTTCTCTCTACTCTGCTTTTGCAGAAAACATGCAGATGGAAGGGATCAGCAGGACTATGTGCAACAGCACCCACGCCTGGCCATTCATCAGTACTTGACCTTATTTCTATCACCATTTACTCCTGGGAAAATTCTGTGCCACAAATTAAAAATTCTGCGCACAATATTTTAAAATTCTGCAAATTTTGTCAAAAACAACACTACATAATCACACCAGTTTCAATTATTTTGGTAATTTTATTTCAAAATACCTGTCAGTAAGTATGTCTGTAACAATACAGACAAAAAAATTCCCCCAGGAGTAGAGTTAAAGAAACCCCTATGACAACCCGCTTCCTGTTTCTCTGGCACACCCCCCTCCAAGCCCAGCCAGGTACCCAGACACCCACAACCCCTCTCCCCCAGAGCCCAGCTGCGGGCCCCCGCCAGCCAATATACCTGAATCCCATACCCCACCCCAAGAGCCCAGCTGTGAGGTCCCCCCTTGCCCAGATATCCGCTCCCCTTCCCCCTCCCATAGCCCAGCCATGGGACCTCACCCACCTTGACACCCACCCACTACCCCTCAAAGTCCAGCTGTGGGCACCCTTCAGCCCAAACATCCATCCCCTGCCCCCCAAAGTCCAGCTGTGACCCCCCCCAGCCCAGACACCCGCCCCCGTCCCCTCAGAGCCCATGGATCCAGAGGGAGAAACAGCCTGATGCTGGGTCCAAGGCTTATGTGGAGTTTCCTGCATGCTGCAGTCTCCTTCCCTTAATGTGTGCTGGGAACTGCAGCTGCTAGGAACTCTCTACTCTTCCCCTCCTATTCCCCACCCCACAGCAATGTCTTTTATGTGTGAGCTGGGCTCTACCAGGTCCAGCAGCCCCTAGTGGCAGCCAGCAGCCCATTTCTGTGGGGGAAAGGAAACTGCATGCACATTAATTTCTGCAAAATTCTGCATTGCGCAGTGGCGCAGAATTCCCCCAGAAGCATATAACACCTGTAGGGGTTGCTTGATTTGTTTTGTAGATTAATATAGTGAAAAAGAATAAGTTACCTTTTGGTATAGTATTGTTCATTGTGAAGGATCACAAAATGCTTTACAAAGAGAGATCGCTTTATCCACCATTGACATGCAACCATCTCAAGGTGAAAGTGTTTAGGATGGTATGTGAGGAGGCAACTGAAACCACTTAGAAAATTCAAGGGACTTAAAATACAGTTATGCTTATTGGATAACGGAATTAACATACCCACTCTCACAAAATAAATAAATAAAAGATGACATGCCCATGAATACTAGCAAAAGAAGTTCCCATGCAAGACTCCTCCACCCTGACATGCTTTTCCAGTACCGGATCTCTCAAATGGAGACAGATAGCCATGTGGAGCTGTGAATCTTACCACAAATTGTCACAAAGAGCACTCATGAGACCACTAACTGTAACTTGGGAGCTAAGTGCATTAACCTTCTTCACCACCTGTCTCCCATTTCCCAACCCAAAACAGCTTTGAATTAACCCAATGCAGAGAGAAGACCCATACTTAGTCACAGAATGATAATGCTTGTGGTGTTGGTGCTGATTAGTTGCAGGCTTGGAAGGAGACTGATGTGTTCAAGACAAAATCCACATCACCTTCATTTACATTGTAAACAGAAGAGATGAAACTTCAGCTCCTGTTTAAGGTCTTATGATAGTGCCCATTGCTGTAGGATCAAGTATTTCTCAGAAAAGGACAATCACGAAAGACCTAATTTTCTTCCTGCATCCCTGAAGTAGGCAAGAAGTTAGCATTTTTTTTAAAATATATTTTCTCTCTCTCATTCTTGCCATCACTTCCTTTTCTGTCTCCTTTGCTGCTCTTAAGTCATGGGGAGGAGCGGAGGAGAGAAAACTTCCACACCTCAGTCTGAGGCTGTGAAAGCTGTGGTCATTTGAATTCAATTGCCCTGCCCCTGCAGTCAAGGAAGCACTGTCTGCAGCTCTCGTGACTGTTACCCCTGAGGTTGACAGCTCTGTAATCCTTCAAAGGCATCTGAGAGGTGGAGATAAAAAAGCAAAACAAGTCTCTTCTAAGATAACAGGGGTCGGATATCTTTTACTTAAAAAAAAGTGTTTTCTCAAGACACCTGCAAAAATTACAGAATCAGAAAATAAAGGTGCACTAGAAAACACTCGAATGTATAGGCCTCTGCCTAACACAGAACGCCTGATAGAATCAACACCTCCTCTACAGCAAGAGCTGGCCACCACCGACAGAACCTGTCTGGGAGATTTTTCAACTGCCTGAGATTGTCTGTACCCACTGCAGGGCAGGAGAGTCTGCTCTTTCACAGGGATAGGTATGTGTGGTGGGTACACCTGGATCTTGTGTCATTTTGTATGGTTCTGTGGTGTTTCATAACAAGAAGAACCTACTTGTTCACATAGAGATCTAGAGCAGAAAAACTCAAAGCAGCCAGAGCGAAAGCAAAAGGCTGCCTGAAGTATTGTTCCTGGCCGGCAGGTATGTAGCTGACCTCTTATGTACTTAGCTACTTATGTGGTTGCCACATTCCCCTACCTCTGGCACTCAGTGCTGTGATATGGAATGGGGCAGCATTCCATATTGTCACCATTAGCATGCAGGCTGACTTCACAGGGAGGGCCTTTTGTACTAGTTTGGGACCCAGTAATACTTTTGCAGTCAGCTGGCAATAGTGCAAGGCCTGGGGATCTCAGAACTTAACATGGTCCTGCCTCTTCTCTTTCTGTTCAGCGTGCTCGTGCTCTAAAGAGCTACTTTAAATATCACAGCAACATCAGAACTAATAGGGACAAACCCAGCATTGACTCCTGTGTCCCTGAGTGACACCCAGAGCCAAGGATAGAGGGAAGCTGATAGCTGAAGTGACCCGCCCTGGTTTTCACCAAAACCAGACTGTCTTTTCTGCAGTACTGAAATGTGTTTGGGACTCAGTTCCCAGCCTAGTAGATAAACACACAGAGGCACAACCCACTGAGTCTCCAAGGCAGAGTGACAGGCCATGGGGCTCCCATGGTTCTTCCCACCAGCTGATCTGTGAACCACCATGGTATCACCTGGGTGGCTATAGACTCTCTGGACGGAGAGAAGTGCCATGGTGATAACTGGGAAAAGGGAACAAAAGCAGGGTGTAGTGGCCTTATTTCTTTATAGCAGGCAATGTAATCAGTTTGGGCCTTCTGAACACCTTCAGGACTGAGCAAGTACTCACTCCCCCCTCTCCCCATCCAGGAAAGCTCAGCTCAGACAGCATCTGTTTTTTTGGGAGAACTGCTGCTTTTCACTCCAGTTTCACAGCTGGGTTGCCCAAGACCAGAGGAGATGGCCCAGCTCATCCTGGTTTCAACGCACTGAGTGCTGGCTCAGACATAATGACAACCAGTACATCACATCAACAACTTTCCTTGAAGACTAAAACTCAGTCATTTTCTTGTGTGTCTCTGCTTTTTTCTGCTCCTGCTGCAGGCTGGCTTCCTGGGCCCGCAACTGCCCCAGCTGTCTGTGAGCACCAGCTAGTTTCTCCTGCAGCTGGGCTGTGGCAATACTGTGCCTGAAAGCAGAAGACAGGCACATTAAGGATATCACAAAGGTTCCTCATTAACATCTCCATTTTACTGCTAGGAATCCCAGTCTCAGCAGTGGGGTGGATGTAAATGACCTGCTGGGAGCCATGAAGTGTCAGATATCAAGCAAAACATGAGCCAGAGAACTGTGATTGTTCTTGCCAGAGTACTACTCATAGAAATACTACAAGGATGGCCCCGATCAGTGTAAAAAAACAAAGAAAATTCTGCAGGACTCTGGAGAGTTCTCCTCCTTCCCCAATTTGGATTCTGGCCCAGGGGTCCTTGCCTTCTTAAGGCAGCAATCAGACACACAATCTGGTCCAAGTCATGGTTTGGAAGCTTTTGCATACCACTTTATTCTAGGCCTCCTCCCATGCCAGTGGGTAGAGTAGGAACAGTGACAAACACCTTAGTATAAGTTCAGCTCTTCTCCTATAGAGAGCCACCTCAAGAGGTCATCTAGTTCCCTGCACTCACGGCAGGATTAGGTATTTTCTATCTAGACCATCCCTGAGTACCCATTCTGAGTCCTCTTCAAAACTCTTACTTTTTAATGTAACATAATCCAACTCTTCACCTTCAGCTCCCATGACCTGCATGATCCACCCAAAGCCTAAGTAACAGGCAACCCAAAATCATTCTGGAACCCCAACTGGGGGTTTCCCCATACCGTCCAACATTGCGTGCCAGGGCCTCCTGGATTCCCTTGATGGTCTTCTGCGTTTGGTCAATCTTCTCCATTGTCTGGAAGAGGCGGACACTGAGGGCCTTCTTGGTGCTCTTACTGGCATGGTAGATCTCCTTGTTGTTTCTCTCCACTGGTGTCATCCCTCCATCCTGCTCCCCAGAGCCCTTCCCCTGAAGCTTCTCATTCAGAAAGTCAAAGACATTGCGAGAGGTCTTGCGGCTCCCTGCAGAGGGACGGCCAACATGGTTTGCCTTCACTCGCCGTTTCCTTGACTTAGCTGGATCCAGCCTCTTCTTCTGAAGGATCTCGGCACATTGGTCAAGGGACTTCCCTTTAGGCAGCACTATGGCTTGCACTGGCTCCACTCGGCCCTCAGCATTCTTCCCCAAACCTGAGGGAGGAAGAAGGGCACAAGATAGAAGCCAAATGCTAACAGTGGAGTCTCTTCATCCACCAATGATACCTCCCATCCACCTCTGCACAGCCACCAGGCTCAGAACAACAGAAAACAGTCTGTTGGGGCTCAGTGCCGCTACCCTTGACGTCAACAGGAGCAGTGTTGGACTACATACGTGATGGCAACAAGAGATAAGATGCACCTGCCCCCATACACACACGATTCACACTGTTACGCACACATGAGCCTCAACAATACAGAACAGGGTCATGCAGCTGAGGTGTTGCAGCGAAGCCACGCTTGGATCTGCACTGTCACCTCCTTGAGCAGAGAAGACACTCCCCTTCAAAAGCAAGTTCAGTCTCGCCACAAGAACAGGAGGCAAGCATGGGCAGCAGGCTGGCTTCCCAAGCCCACTGGGCTTAGCAGAACTTCAGTACAAGTTGTCTGGAATCAGAAGCTGGCTTTGAAGTCTGTGTTCGGGGCTAGAAGTCCCTGAGCCAGATCCCCCATTACCTAATGCCCTACAGGACAGCTGAATAGCTAAAGCTCTGCTCTAACAGCTTTAATCATTTGGCCATTGCTTTAAAATCCCCCGCACTGACGTATCACTGAACATGAACGTCAACAAGCACACACCTGCATCCCCCCAAACATCGATATTAAAAGTTTATCCCTTAACTGTACTAGGTCATATTTCAGCACCACCACACGTGTAAGCCTGCATTTAGAATTGAATGCATACCCCAT